GTAAAATTTCATGAACATAATGTTTCCCGGATGATCGATGGCAGTTATGGGAACTGGAGCTCATTGGATCGCCCTTTTCTCAACGACCCCTCCCCCCCCCCCCTTTGCTTGTACAACAGTTCCGCGGGAGACTGCCTCGCAGGCCGGCTGGAGCAGAAAACTTCTGTCTCCACCCCGATATTGGTTTCCTTGGAACGTTATTTATTCGTTTTTTCGTTGCCGTTACATTCGACGATTCGGTCGCTTTATTACAAGAATTTGTTGCACGACGAATCGGTTTCGTAGAATTGAACCGACGACGAATCGATCGTGGTAGAACGATGGTTCTCTAAAACGAGCGTTTCAAGTTTTTTAAACAAATACAAGGATTAGAGAAACAACATTTGTTACCTCGGAAGACAGATAAAAACTTATATCGAATGCAACAGCCGCGGTGACTTTTTCAACTGCGCGAGTCGACGCGCCTCTCGAGTGTCTGACCAATGCTGTATTTTTCTACTGTCCCTGGCCGACAGTAGAGCATAGCGGCATGGGTTACACGCAATTCAGCTAATTCCCATTTCTGCTAATCACGCGCGGTGCTTTCGTGAATTTCGTTAAGAAAATGACCATCAGCCTGCGTCGGGGTATAATAAAAATTTGTCTAATTAGACGCGAGTAGGATTTCAACGAATATTTTAATACACGCCGCGTCAGAGTGTGCGTTTCCCTGGAACGAAGAAACGAAACAACGAAAGGATCTCTACCGCATGCTCTAACCGTATTGTTTATCGTATAAACTTTTTTGATTAACGATTAAAAAGGAGACTACACCTGAAACTTATACGTACAAGTTTTCGTGAAACTGATCCGCGGATAACGATACTTGGTCGAAGCTCGCGTAAACACTCGAGCATCGAAAAAGCTGCGCGAAAGAATAAAGTGGAAGGGGCACGCGAAAGAGCTGCGCTCGGGGGAACGGCGAAGAAACTGCTGCAAGGAATTTTAAGCGTCGCGGCTTCTCGCGAGACGGCGCCCGTTGAAAGACAATTCCTCGGAGCACGTGAAACGTCATCTCTGCGTGATTAACGATCGCGGAATTAATTTCGAGCCTCGACAGCAAATACTTCGGGGATTAAGCGTCCGGGGGCTGTCACTGTTTTTCCGTTGAAAACCGTATGAAATATGTATATAGCGTGTGCTGGTTGGGCGACCTCTAAAATGCGCAGGAGACTTTCACGATCACGGTAGCGAGAATTAATGAAATTTCAGTCGTTTCATCGAATCGTAACCGAGATAGTTCTGTCGTCCTGGTTTCTATCGGCTGAAATTTATCTCGATATTTCAAAGTTTGGCTCTTGTACTTTCGCTAGGCACTATCGTTGAAATCGATACCGTTTTGTACGCGTTGCACGGCGAAGAGGTACGATTATTATTAATTTTATCGCGATATTTTAGAAACGAATCCACCGTCGAGATCAAGAGCTGCAAACCCTTCAAACGATCGAGGTCGCGTGGTGGTAGGTCGAGTTCAAAGGGAACCGTGTATCAGGTCAAGAAGGCCGAGGTTGCCGACCAATTAATTAGTCATTTCTTTGACGAGAATTCGTGTAATTCGAGGTGTTCCCTTTGCCGCGATACAAGTAGTAATAACAGGTCCTTCCAAAGGTTGCGATGGCGACGATAACAATTCGACGAGGGGAAATGAAACGAGGTCGTGCAAAATAAAATAGGAATGCTAGGTGACAATAATGAAGCGACCTACTAAAACCGATTGATTTTGTTAAAATTAATTTTGGAAGAAATTTGCGACTTTTACGAATTCATGGACCTTTTCTAAAACTGAGCGCTCTGTAAAATTTATTGTATCGATGTTCTCGCGAGCAACGCTGCCGAAGCTAAATTCTTCTGCAGAATCGCAGTTATAAACAGCGACGATATATTCAAATAGATTGCACGGACATGTATACATAGTACACTCCGATATACTTGTTCTTTGAGGCGCCGATTAATTATTCCTCCGTACCATAAATTCACAACAAGGCCAGATTCGAACGTTCCACGCAAGCGAATAACTAACGATTCACCAGTTCGAAACTAGTTGTACGCGATTTGATTCCGATCGTTCGAAAATTTGATACACAGTAGCCTATGGGGCTACCGCTGCTCGCGAATTATAAAAAAAAAAATTGAGCTTCTAGTTGAAAATGGCGCGTGCCTTGTCGAATTCGACATCCATATCGGCACGTTGGCGTAATCGAAATCAATCGTCAACGGTTAACAAAAATCACCCCAACGTCTAAACGAACGCGAGAGCATTCGACGAACCGGTCGTGCAGATCCGTTCACGGTCGATTGTTTTCCATAGAACGGGAACAACATCGACGCCGTGAGGTGTACCTAATGCTTTCGGGGAACATCCAGCGCGCGAGGCCTGCCAAAAAAAATCCCAGATTCGTGGATGCAACGAGCGGAAACGCCGCGCCGACGCCGGCTCGAAGATACTTGGAATTTATTCGAAAGCAACCTCGTTACGGTGAGGCTGGCAAAAAGTAGGTCGCATGAAAACACCGAGGACGTTTAAAAGCGCCTCACCGTGCGATTTAACGTCAATGGGCCACTTCTCGTTCCCCTCTTTCCTCCATCTCCGAGCTGCGCGCCTCCTTTTTCTCGGCCGTCCGCCTTCTACGTTCCGCGTGTCTTTTCCGCCTTTCCCTCTTTTCCTTTTTCTCTTCTTTTTTTTTTCGTCGCGAGCCGACTCGCGACATTTAAGCCAGGAGCCGTGGAGGGCGGGTCGAGGCACGAGCTCTTGGAAAACCTTTGCCCGCTCTACGAGGACGCGCGCTTTTTCGAAGGAGGAATCCTTTATGAAACGGACTGTCGCCTTCTGTTCTGCACGGTCTCGTGCCTCGACTTTTCACGGTGCGCGGTTCCTTAGGCGATACTTTTTACCGTTCGCCTCGCGACGACCGCTCGTTGTGGCTTTGGTCGCAATTAGAAAGACGGTAACAAGTTACCGTTATTGTTATTACTTTTGCTCGGCACGTGCGCCGATACCGTGTGTACGCGCTGCCGGAAACGCGAACGCTTGGATGTACGTGTACGCGGTTACCAGCGATTACTTGTTTAGGCGGCGAACATGGCTCGGAATGCTCGTTGTCCGCGCGACGCTCAAAGTTGAATGGAAAGCGACCAAGTTGAAAACTCTCGGTTTAAACTTGAAAGTTAAAAAAGAGGCAAACTTCTTTCTCAAGGATTGTTTCCAAGTTGAGTGGAAGTCAACCGAGTTTAACGCGTGCTCTCTTGAAACGAGAAAATCCCGAAAGAAGAAATTAGATCTCGAACATGGAACCAACGTATGAAATGTCCAACGCGATAAATAGATAAACGGATAAACAAATCGCTTATCGCATGCTCCGGAACGATACCCCCTAAGAGCGTTAAACCGTGATACGGAAAGCGTTACATAGGTAAGCAGAAGCGCAAGCTCAGCTAAAGCGGTAGTAGTACAGTTCAAGTGCGAAAATACCGTGAATACGTGACAATGAGATTGATGAAGAAAGGTATATAAAGGAGGTAGAGAGCGAGAAAGTGACCGACCGCTCGAAAGGATAAAGACATTACTACAGCGTGGAATGAAAATAGCAGAGCAGAGGCAAACCGTCGTCGTTCATCCACGACCTTTGAACGGATAGATAGGATAGAGCAAGTAAGAGAGAGAGAGCGAGAGAGCGAGAGAGAGAGAGAGAGAGAGAGAGAGAGAGAGAGAGAGAGAGAGAGAGAGAGAGAGAGAGAAGAGACGAGGAATATAAAATGCCGATGAGGCTGATCGTCTTTCATTATTAACACTCTACGAGCACGTAGGCGATATTTCGCCACCGAGAAATTCCGTGGGGGTATAAATGACTTCCACCCTGAAACTTACTCTGCGGCTATAGACACGGTAGATAAGCTTCGATCGCGTTTCGTCCCGCTCGAGGTCGAAATACCCATAGATATCACCGATTTACGACAACGGCTACCGTCAACCCTTTATCGATCGGCAAAAAAATCGACGAGAAGAGCAACCACGCGTTCCAAAGGTCGCGAGAAATCGAAACCAGGAAGAAGATTCAAAACTGACTCGCGCGCTAAAAGCGGGCAAACTCAATTACGCTCCCGTTTCGCCACTTAAATTAGCACCGCTTCGCGAACTAGCGTCGATAAACCGTCGTTGTTGAATTAATAACCGATCCTAATTGAATTAATAATCCGCTCGTCCCTCCACGGAAATTGTAATAGCTGGCTGGTGGCTAACAAAATACGTCCAATCTATACGTCCGTACAGTTATTGGTTCCTGTCCAATTATTGGCTTACTCTTCTCCCGTACTGGAGCATTCTATCAAATCGCCAGCGAAACGAATGTCTTTAAAAGGAAACACGGGCCCTCGACCATGGAATATATTTACCCTCGAACGCTTCGCGGTGCTCGATAAGCCACACAAAGTGAGCCTCGTTCGTGTTTAGTTGGTCATGGATTCGATCAATTACAACAACGAGCAATAGAAAAACCGCGAATGCGTTGTTTACGATGCTCTCGAGCTTACGTTGCTCCAAGACGCGAATAGATTTCCTCGACGAGCGATACCGTAATAGCTAAAGCGCTCCGACCGTCTTCGAATAACACGCGATCAATCTATTTGCGAGGGACATCCCGAGCAGTGAGCACGTAAAGAATATTTAAAAGAAAATTAGCACGCGTCGACGCGTCCTAGCTGAACCGAGCGTTGCGTAGGTCGAAAATAAACAATGAAATAAACCGTTCGAGGTATTTATGTTTGGGGCCGTGGCGAGGTTTTTCAAACAAGTCCAACGTAAATACAGGGAAAACCCGAGTAAATACGTAATTTGTGAGAGTTCCAAGAATTTACACAAAGGTTTTATATGAAATGGCAACTACGCGTACCAATTTGATCGTCTTCTGCGAGAAATTCCGGAACGGGAGAGTATCCGGATGAAGAAACGAAGAAATGGGACTTACCGCTTCTGCCTGTAGGTGTTGGCGCCGACGTGGATCTACCGGTCGGCTCTGGAATCGGGAACACCAGGTCGCAGCACTCTCTCTCGGGGAACTCGCTGGCACGAGCACACCTGCAGCAGGAGAGCACGAAGAGCGCCGCGGCGACGCTCGTCAGCAGCGTTGAACGAGCTGGCAGCGTCCCGACGACACGCGACATGACTCGTCCCATCAGATCATCGCACACCATGGGCCCGAATCCTTTCAGGCTTCGAGCAACGCGGCCGTCCTCCAAGGTGTCGCGGGCCTCCGCTCGGCGTGGGGCTGCCGGACGACGACGACGAATCCCGCGACGTCCGCGCGACATCCTCTCGTCGTCCGTCTCATCGTGCGCCGTCGCCTCCTCCACCTTCGCTCCGACCCGACGAACACGAACGCTGCTCGTATTCGCGTCCGCGTCCGCGTACGATGTGTTCCGCCGACGATCGTCTTCTTCGCCTATCTCGTCGCGCGAGAACGAAATCACCGCGTGCCCGCACTTTCTCAAATCCAACGTTCGCCGACGATTCTCACACTTTTCCCGCGGTTCGAAACATCTAACGCGATCCTCTTCCCGAGGAAAGATCGTCGCGCTCGTCGGGTCGACAAAGATCGACGGAGATCAGCCGAGTTCCGATGCGGCGTACATCCCGAACGTAAACGGTTGCTTTCTCTTCTCTCACGGGAATGAATCCTCGATCGATCACTCCGAAATCGCGAACCGAGAGTAGTAATCCACACGCGGGATCGACGTCGATCGCGAAACACGGATCGCTCGACGCGTGTGCGTGCGTGGCCCTCGAATGCTGTCCGCGTACCGCGATACGGTAAACAGTCGCGCTTCGCACTCGATACTCCTCGTGTCTTGTCGCGCTTCGCACACTTGCCGCGCGCGTGCTCGCGTTCCGAGCGTACTACCGAGCCGAGACCGCGTCGCCGCTGTGGCCCGACGCCCAATGTCGACTACGCCGCACCGCGTTTAGACCGACTGCCGAGCGCGCGAAATTCCCCTTCATCCCGCTGACAACCCTCCCGGCTGCTACCCTCGACCGACTCCCCTATCTCCCACCCGTTTCCGATACCTGCTCCAACCCCTACCTTCAACCCCGCAGCCGTAAGCGCGATAGCTTCTGCGCGAAAGTGTGCGCGAAAGCGTTCCGAAACCCGACGAGAGCGTTGCCGTGTACGGTGTATTTGTCGTGTGCCTGCACGCGCCGCTCAGCCGTGTGCGCGCCCCCCGAGTTCCGATCTACGTTCTCCTCTCTACCAACAGACTCGCAGACGGCGTGTTCAGGTGCTTGTAGTCGCTCGCAGGGAAACGCACACCTGCGCGGTCCGCTCCGTTTCGAACGCGCGGTCGACCGCGTTCTATGTTCGTGTGCACGCGTTTCCATCATCGATACCCGTGCCTACGTAGACTATGTACGTGCGGCTATTTGTTTTTACTTTTTCCCAAAATCGATTCTCGAGTTTCGTTTGTTTCTGTTCTTTCTGGCAACGGTAATAACTAGACTGGTTTGAGGCTGATCGCGATGAAAAGATGAGGTGATGCGAGAAAGCTTAGACGATCCAGAACACGCGTGGTAATTGGGAAAAAGTACAGGAGACAGCGTAGGAGATCCACCCCTGTCCATCTAAACCAAGGGAGCGATGATTGCGTTACCAAGTAAGACATTTGTGATCGTGTACTTTTTTGCCAATGATACCGCGCACAAAATCATCGCAGAGGTGGCTCTCCGTTTCCCTCCGTAAAGGTCCTCGCGGCGGGAACCACTACAACTACCAAGCGGGTCAATTTGACGGTTATTTTTAGAGATTCGTGGTGCCTCTCGCCATATATCCTCGTATGCGTTGCGTGCATCCTATCCATAAGTTCGGCTTTGGCCAATTTTAGTATCAGTGGTTCCGTTGGTTGGCTCCGAACCTGTCCTCCAGTCGTGCGCGTATTTATCTGTCCCTAAGCGTGTCAGTGCTCGCCGCGTGTCAGATCCAGTGTCCGCTGGCATACGTACACCTTCTCGTTGTAACCCGATTCCGCGGCGGTTCGCGGAACCTAAACGCGACAACGTCCGAGCAGATCCGAGAGACTCCGAATGGTTAAACACCCTCCTAGCCAGGCCAAGCACCGACCATCCCGCCAACGACCCTCGTTCGTCGTACGGGCCGTTCCTGACCTCCTTTCGCTCGGATTGTCGAGGTCGGTTACGCGGAAATACCCGCCGGGCCCCGTTGGCTGCTTCACGTGACAACGCAGCTCCGACAACCGTTTTAACTCTCAACTGTTTTCCGAGGGTTCGTTGTACCAATTGCGCGAAGCTTTTCCTTCCACGCGAACAACTGTTACAGTTTAAACCTGATCGACGCGACGCGCGGCTATTGCCAAACCGACGGATCGGCCATTAACGTTCCGTTTTCCTTGCTTCTACTTTCCATCGTTTACCTATACGCACGCTATCGTTTATTCCGAAAGAACACTTTTGCTCCCACGTAAACGACGAACCCACTTCCGTGCGATGAAACGGATCGATCGACGGAAGACCGTGAAATTTTCATCGCTTTGGAACTACTCTGGGTCGTATCGGTACGCTGTTCCGCCACCGTTGCCTCTCGACCTTGCAATATTAACAACGAATTAAATCGACCAAGTTGGCGATCGCTAATCGACGAGACGACAGTTAACGCGTGGAGAGCGACAAAGTTTCGGAGGGGTGCGCCCCCCCGTTATCGTCGTTCGTTGATCGAACGTTATCGACTAGGACGGGTCACCGGCGAAATTCACAGGGCGACGATCGATCGCGATGCACCGCGTAATGTGCCTCGACAAACGGTGTTATTAATTCTCATCGCGACATTGCGAAAATCCAATATTCCGCCGGTGGCGAAAAAAGCATCCGCTGTGACCCGTCGGCCTCGCAATCGCGATTCGATTGACCGCGTTAAATTCAACCGGCCTAATATTGACGCGCATCGTTAAATGGGTATTTATAACGGTCTGGTGGTAATTATTTAATCGGGCCACGGTCGATGGACGGAGCCGACGATGAGTAACCCCTTCTTCCAGAACGTGGACGAATCTGCAGCGACTCTGAAAAAGATTGAAATAAATAAAAAGTGAGGAAAATCCGAGACGCTTTAACGAAGATCGAAACCGTGCGGTACGTTACGCGACGTTAACGAGTTGGACTGTTCGATTAGCGTAGGAAAATTGCTGGTCGGTCGGAACGGTGGAGGTCGGTAGGATAAACTCGACAGTGGTCAGAGTGGACGGTATACGCGGCATTAGTAGAAGTTCGAGAGTATGGTCGGACGGGCTACGTCGGCGTCGATTGCTCGGGAGAACTCGACTCAGCAGTTGCGCGAGTAATCGGACGAGGCTGCTCGTGCACCGAGTCAATTGTTAAGGGAATCCTCGAGAATATAAACAGAAGATTATATTCGAGCGTCGATTCCCGTGTAAACGGAGAGGAATGCGCCTCTAATCTAAGCTAATGAAACCGAGGACGACCAAAGGAGCAACTTGACGGTTTTTCACGAGTAATTGTAATTCTAAATGCACGAAAACCCTTATAGAACTCCAAAGATCCTCGGAATAAAAATGATGGAGACCCTGAGAAAAGTTACGAAGATCGTACATCAGCGATCACGCGATACGGCCGTACAGAGTCGACGGTTCGCGGTTCAAATTTCTGTAATTCATTGCCGTATCGTTGGCCAAAATTGGCCTGATTACTCTATCGAGTACTTTCATTGCAATTTTCTCGCTTGCCGATTCCGATACGATTAACTAGTATTTGACTAAATAAGACCAACGCGAATCTTTTTAGTTGCTTTACTCGAAACCGAAATCGAAATTGACGTCATCGAATCGTTAAATATTCATACTCCGCTACGTTTCCAAGTATTTTCGGCGCTTCCCCGATTACCTATGTTTGCGATTCCAAAAGGATGTTTCTTGTTGGAACACCAAGTAGTCGCGTGTCAACCGAACACTGGCGTCCACTTACCGCATCGATATCACGCGATGGCATCGCGACGACAAAATCACGATCGAATGCGATCGTGTCACGGGGCAACAGAGTAGCTACTATACATGCATACGATAATTTCCCGCTTTCCTAATCGAATTATCATCCACGTTTGATCAACGTTGACGCATCTTTCGAGTGGACGAGAGGATCGTTGACACTTTTACGAAAATACAAGAAAAGAAGACCGTTGCTCGATCCGCGAGAATCAGTGTTCCCGCCCCCGACACTTTGCGATGCATTAGAAATCAGGTTTAAACGAGATGTAATATATTCAGCGGTTTACCGCGGTATCGGGCGACGAGACCGTCGAGGGTCGGATGCATAGGGAACTCGACGATAGTCAACGTCGGTCTGCGGTTACGGTGAACAGAAGTGACAGCCAGTACCTGCATAATGACTCGACTGCAGCCGTGCAATGCGGCGCGCAAGCTCGCTACGCGATGCACACTGCCAATCGGGAACGTTGTTTCGTCGTACGTAGATACACACACCGGTGGGTTATTCTCTACCAGCGATTTTCTACGATTGCAACAATGCTACGGGAACGTCTGCCGTGTACAGGGCACCCGGTTCTCACGCGATTTCTTTCCGATCCATAATTTCATCGCTGGCAATAGCTGCTCGACGAATCGGGCCTTCTTGCAACCCTGTCCCATCTCCAACTCTGCGTGTTAATTCCACTCTGCTGCAATTTCGTTCCTGAAACAATCGATAATCGTACGTGTCGTAACACCGAGATCTGGCGCACCATCGATACCAAAATTATAATCTGAATTATGAAAATGGTAACCTTTATAAAAAGAGATGATTTACCTATGTATATTCGTATATACGTAGAGTTTCAGGTAAAGACGCTGGAAGCGAGCATCTTTAATAGGAATCTTATTTTATTCGATTCGCCGCCATATATCTGCAGTGTTCAGGAACAAAGGGGTGTAGATAGGCGGACGGAGTTGCGGACGGAGTTGCGGACGGAGTTGCAGACGGAGTTGCGAAATAACAGTAAATACCAGGCTGTTATAAGTAAAACATATTAATCATATGCAAATATAAATGGTTTTACATGGTAGAACTACCAAATAAACGGTACAATATGAGGATGACCGTTGCGCGAAAAAGCGAGTAAACATTCATTGCCACCGCCGGTTTTCATGCGCCTGAGGGACGCCCAAAAATTCGTCGAAATTCCACTTTACCCGATTAAAAAAGAATTTTGCACTCTAATATAAAGTAAATCTAAACGCGAGTCAGATGTCCTCGAATATCAAACGCTTGCTCTCTCGATTAGCCTCACGCTGTGAAAATCACACGCACACTTTCAAAACGCGATATCTAATTGTCTCTCGTAGATCGGATCAATTATCACACAATAAACATTCGAACATTCGGTTATATGCCTTGAAAGCCTTACAATTTCTGAAACGGGAAACGCCGCTTTTGGCGAACAAAATTGGCTACTTGCACGTTCATACTGCACAGATTCATCGAGCGTCGAATGATGTCACGCACGCTCATCGCAAGCGCATGAAGACAGGTCGGCTCGATAATTAAAAATTTCTATTCTTTGTAGTGGCGTGCACTTTTACTGCGTGCCCGCTCAATCACAATTTAGGTATCTCGTGTACGCGCGCGCGCTTGCATGCGCGTGTGTTCGACAAAGCGCACGCAGGTACGCGCGTATGTGTGTGATGTGTACCTGCACATATATAGATATATAGGTACATACATAGATCGTTCTAAGATCGCGCATGCCTTGGCGCATACATCTATATATATGCACCATAATATATGATTCTTTTTTTCTTCTTTATCTCATACTTATGACAATAATAGTATATTTTACATGCACAAACAAAAGTTTTATCACAGTGGGACAGCATACATTCGTCAGTAACGTAGTATTGTGTATCGATAACTTCTGCCTTTTTCTTTAGCACGCGCAACCCTATACCTTGTCCCATCCTTATGCATTCGAGATTTTCTCGATCTCTCCTCCTATTTTATCCTTCCGTGTCG